GCCACACCTTTCAGCCTCTTCCTCCAGAAAGCCGTCTCCCTTTCTCAGCCGTGGGAAGGGAAGGTGAGGGCAGCCAGGAGAACGCAGGCAGTACCGAGCGGGGTTCCAGGGTAGGCGAGATTCCGCTGGGGGCCCCAGCAGGCAGCACAGAGAGACTGGCTGGGCTGTTCTTGGTCGTAGAAACCAGAGGAATGTCCCACTGGAAAATCCCAGCGAGCACTATTTTTAGAGAAGTCTTGGAGAGCCTTTTTTTTGACTGAAGGGACAAGTTCCTTCAGAAGCAGTGGTTTACTGTAACCCCTGAGCCGCACCCGCCTGGAATTCACCCAGGCCCGGGACCTCCCTGTGGGCGGCGAGGAGTCCCGGTCAGTCTCCCCCTGCACAGTAGGAGCATCGGCTTCTTTCAAACCCAAAATGGGTTGTGTGTTTATTTTCACATCTCTGAGTCCAGATCCTTCAGGCTAAGGAATTTATTCTGCTACTTTTCTTTAAAATGCCCTTTAAACGTAGGGAGAATCAGGGCCTCCCTGGTGACGCAGGGTTAAAGTCTCAGCACTATCAAGCTATCACCAGCCACTGCAGCATGAGTTCGATCCCCGGCCAGGGAGGTGACCCACATGGCGCAGCAGACCTCTCCTGTCTCGCCCGCTGCTCCCCTCAGCAGTGGATTTCAGTCAGTCTGCCTGTTCTGCTCCCCACTCTGTCTCTGGCGAGTCCTCTCACCCCCCACACCTCTGGCCTGCACCCCAGTTCTTGTATGCATAAATAAATTTAAAAAATCTTTAACAACAACAACAAAATAAAAGGGGGAAATCATTTCAAACCAAGTTGTGAGTCTTGAAACATTAGCAATTTCTCGGGTGTTTGGTTCCTGTTTAATATGGATCATTATTAACAATAAACTAGATCAGCCTTCCCTGTATACTTCAGACTTAAATGTTCCACTTAACCACCACTGTTTATATTTTCCCGTTTGAGGCAGAAATCTCTAGGGCTCCTGCTAATGACTAAGCTTATTAAAAGTAGTAGATTAGATCCAGTGCTTAATGGAAGTTACAGGAAAAGCTGCTGCCACCCCCACCCTAATAGGGATTCACCAGGGAGAAGTCTCAGGAAGAAACAAAGTGTGGGGGGAACCCCTCTCTCCTCACCATCATTAGGCTCCGCCTCTAGGGACAGAATTAGCAGGAACCACAGTTTGGGCAGGGGGTGTTTTTGCTTCCAGCCCTTCATGGGATTTAGAACCTAAAGTCCTTGTAGAACCAACGCTTTGGAGATTAGATTGTGCCACTGAATCGGGATGGAGGGGAGCTCTTGTGAGGAGTCCCCTCGGCTTGGCAGTGGTTGCCTTTGGAGGGAGCTAAGCCAAGTTCTAAATGAGAGGCTGGGGGACTCGGGGAGAGCTGCACCTGAGCCAGGTGAACTGGAGAATCCTGGGAAAAGCCACATCTCAGGACACTATACACTGAGTAGCTCATAAGGGACGAGATCAGGAACTGAGCTAAGAATCAGCATTCTGGTCACGGGCAGGGCTGTCCCCCAGCAGCAGTGAATAAAGGGGCATCTGGCTTATTCATCCGTCTCCCCTGAGACCGATCGCCTTGAGTCAGCACTGGACATGTGCACCAGCCTCGGGAGCCCAGGAACCTGTCAGAGGGCTGCCCGCTTCTCTACCACTTGTCACTGTCATTTTGTCTTCAGCATTAGTGGACATCTGGAGGCACAGCTGCAGCCCTGTAGACTCACGATGTGTTCAGCCCTGAGGAAGGCACCGTCTACTGTGTTGCTTATAACTCCGTGGGATTCCCGGCAATACCCTGTGGAAATCTGTGAATTTCTGGTTAAAACCCAGAAGTAAACATTTTGAATCTGTCCCTGGTACTAAAAATAAACGTAGGCTAGTGTCCAGGATCAGAGGACAGTTAAGTACTGGGGGGTGGGGTGCGGGGGGAGCTTCCAAGTTTGCTTCCGCTCAGGCTTAGTGAAGCCAGAGAGAACATCCTAGAAGGCAGGCCTCCCCAGCCACTCTCCAGCCTGACGTTCTTCAGATCAGGTTCTGTCCTCTCCCAGCCTCAGATCTTGCCTGGGCATCCTCTTCCCCTTGAACGTTGCGCTTGAATCTCTTCCTCGTGCCTTGCTTTAGCTTATTCCTGGTCTTAGCACATGTTGTTCCCTCTGCCCAGAACACTCTTCCATCACCCCTTACCATCTCTTTGTCCATTTAACTGTGGTTCCTATTTCAGGAACCACAGTTCTCTGCTGAAATTCTGGCCCACAGACTCCATTAAAACCTTGCTGGACCTTCCCATACCGATATGAAAAGGCTCCTCCCCCTATAACACTCGGTGCAAGCTCTGTTGTATGTGCCAGGCCCATGTTGGCACAGGAATATATCTGTCTTGTTCACCACTGACTCTTTTTTTTTTTTTTTTTTTTTAAAGATTTATTTATTTATTTATACAAGCACTGGGTACAGTCAGAAGCGCGGGAGGGTGAGAGAATTCACCAGAGCCAGAGCGGGGAGCAGAGCAGGCAGAAGGACCGAAGGACACTGCTGAGGGGAGCAGCGGGCGGCAGGAGAGGTCTGCGCGCCATGTGGGACCCTCCTCCGCTGGCCGGGGAGCAGCCGGGGGTTGAACCGGCGCCGCAGAGGCTGCGGGCAGCTTCGCAACCCAGCGCTCAACCGCTGCGCCACCAGGGAGGCCCCACCACTGACTCTTAAGTTCCATTTTTTAATTTTTTTTCTTCCTCCCTCAAGTTCCATTAAAAATCATTTTATTATTATTATTTTTTAAAAGATTTATTTATGTGTACAAGAACTGGGGTACAGGCCAGAGGTGCGGGGGATGAGAGGATTCATCAGAGACAAGAGTGGGGAACAGAACAGGCAGAAGGACCGAAGTACACGCTGAGGGGAGCAGTGGACAAGGCAGGAGAGGTCTACTGCACCATGTAGGTAGCTCCCTGGCCAGCTGGGGATCGAATGGTGCTGCAGAGGCTGTGGACAGCTTCACAGTGCTGTGCTTAACCCCTTGGGCCACCAGGAAGGCCCTTGTCTGATTTCTTATCTATTTTCCATCTCTGTCTTTCTGCTCTGTTTCCTATGAGATTTTCTTAAACTCTTGAGTTTTCCAGTTTTTAGCTTCCTATTATTTAGTATGCAAACACACACACACACACAGAGATAAATTAAACATTTCAGGATGATGCCCATGCCCTCAGCTGTGCTGAATGGCTAACTGCTGAATGGCCAAGATACCCAGTTTTATCTGTTCATGAGAATAAAACTCCACTCTTGTGGGGTGGGCCTGAGAGGAATCCCAGGGTCCAGCTTCTTCTCAAAGGGATCTTCACTCCATCTGATCTATCACTGTCTTCACCCTACTTCCAGATGTGCTTGGCACCGCCCATCTGGGCCTTGGGTGACAGGATCTAGGTGGCCTTTCAGCCTCTCCCACTGTCATGCAGGCCTCGCTTTCTGGGGTCTTCTAAGGCAATGACCACTTTTCTGCTTCCAACATTTTGCTTCCTTTGTCTCTTTTCCCCGTCTATGTCCCTGTGGTTTTATGCCCTGAACAAATAAATCCTGGTACCTTTCATTTCACTGGGGCTTGGGGAGAGGCAGACCTCAGGGCCTGCAGCCAACCATTCGGCGGGGCCCTTGTCGCTGGCGTCCACCCCCAGCTCCTAGCACGGCGCTTTGCGGGGAAGTGTCCTGCACACGCTGCTTGGCTGACTCAGGCGCCGGAGCCACTGTCTTTCCCATCTTTGGTAACCGACGGCGAGGAGCCCTTTCAGTGGAAATATCCTCATTTCGGTATTTGCTGCCTCTCAGCCTGGCGTCCACCAGCCCATCTGGGTTATGGATCAGGCAACACTGCGCAATGGAAAAGGTGGTACCTGGACTCTGCCCACCAGCCAGCCGTGCGACCTGGGCACGCGCCTGGCACCTGGAATCCCAGACCCTGCAGGGAGGGGCGCCCCGTCTACACCCGCCGCGAGGCCGCTGCCTGCAGGCGCGGAGGGTTCAGTCCAAAGTGACAATTCTTAGAAAGTCAGCGTTTCCTTAAGCTGGAAATTAGCCTTCGCACTTGAATTGCAAATTGGGCCCTAATTAGGGCCCTTCCGCGCAACATCCGTGTGGAAAGCCTTGACGGGGAGACCCGGCGGCGGGGGGGGGGCGGGGAAACTAAGCTCCGCAGGACGGTCTCCCGCGGGCGCCCCGCGCCCCCCGCGCTGACCCGGCAGCGGCCCCCCGCGGCCCCGCCGGCTCCCGGCCCCCCCACCCCCCGGCCCGCGGACCCGCCCGCTGCCAGCGCCGGGGGCGGGGGCCCCTCGGTACCCTCGGGCCACGCCGTGCGGCTCGGGCCGGGCCTGGGCCCAGCGCCCGGGTCTCCCCGGGAGCCCCCGCAGGGGATCGGCTTCGTTCGGGGAGACACGAGGCCGGGCCCTGGCGTGCGGCCCCGCGCGTGGGGGTCCCCCTCGGCTCCCAGCCCCGCCCGCGGCCCCCAGAGCCCCCAGCCCGCACCCCGGTCGCACCCCGGCAGCGCCGCGCGCGGAGAGGAGGCCGGGGCCCCGCGCGCCGCAGGTGAGGGCGGGGCTTGGGAGACGGCGCGCGCCCCCCGCGCCCCCCAGCCCGCGCGCCCCCATCCCCGCCCCCAGGACCACCCCGCCCCCGGCCCCAAGGGCCCCCCCGGCCCCGGCCCCGGCCCGCGCCCCCAGCCCCTCCGGCCCCCCCACCCCGGCCCGCGCCCCCCGGCCCCGGCCCCGGCCCCGGCCCCGGCCCGCGCGCGCCCGCCCCCCCTCGCGGGGCCGCGCGCCCGCCCCGCCCCCGCCCCGCCCCCCGCCCGCCGCGCCGGCCCCCCCCCGCCCCGCCCCCCCTTCCGCTGCGGAGGCGGCGCGAGCCGAGCCGGGCGGGCCGGGCCGGGCCGGGCGCGCGGCGGGCGGCGGGCGGTGCGGGGCCCCGCGGAGCCCGCAGCTCCGGGCGGCGCGGCGGCAGCATGCGGGGCGGCGAGGAGCTGGACGGCTTCGAGGGCGAGGCCTCGAGCAGCTCCATGATCTCGGGCGCCAGCAGCCCGTACCAGCCCACTACCGAGCCCGTGGGCCGGCGCCGCGGGCTGGCCGGCCTGCGCTGCGACCCCGACTACCTGCGCGGCGCGCTCGGCGGCCTCAAGGTCGCCCAGGTGGTAGGTACCGCGGCCCAGGTGCGCGCCGGCGCCGTCCCGCGTCGGGGCCGGGCGAGGGGCCGCCGCCCGCGCCCCCGCTCCGCGCGCCCCCCGCCCCGCGCGCCCCCCGGGGGTCCGGGCCCCGCGCCGGAGCCTCCCGGCCTGCGCCCCGGGCGCCGCCTCCCACCTGCGCACCTGCCCGCGGCCCTACCTGTCCCCGGCGGCCTCCTGCCGGGCGGGCGGTGCGCGGAGCCGGGCCGGGGGTCGTGCCGGCGCCCGGCGGTGGCCACTTGGGGCGGGTTTTCGGGGCGCGCCGACCTCCACCTCTCCGGACGCCCCTGTCGCCGGCTCCCGCCGCCCGGGGCTGCCGTTTCCCCCTCGGCGCCCGGCAGGGAGCCCGGCCGGCTGCGGACGCTCCGTAAATATTTGCCGAGTGGAGGCGCGGGGAGCCCGGAGCTGCCCGCAGCGTCCCCCGTGTGCGCGGCGGGGTCTGAGGGCGCCCAGGTAGCCTGGAGGCCAGACCCGGCATCCTCCGCCCGGCCCCGGGGCTGCCCCGCTGGTACCCGGAGTGAAACCATTCCGGGAGGGCAGCCAGCTTCGGAGGTAACAGAAACAGAGGACTTTCTGTTGGACTTGCCTGCAGTGGAGCTCCTTTCTCAGAATTCTTATTTTTAGCTTCCAGGGTGCTCAGGGCAGGGGCCGGGGAGACTCTTCTTGCCCCCCCTTTTGTGGCTTTGAACCAGGCCTCTCCTGGCACTCGCTTCGCCCTGTTGTGGGCAGGACTCGATCCAGCTCAGAAAAAAATCTTCCCGTCCAGATATTCCCGGTTACAGGTAGGCCTTCCTGTGAGGCCCAGCAGCAAAACTTTATAGATTTCTCGGCCAGAGAAGCCATTTGCACCGAGCTGCAGTGTATGTGCATTTGTTTCTTGCAAGAAGCATCGGGCTTCTTGTGATGACTTGAGGATCTAGATGAACATTCCTTGGGAATAAGACACTATATGGGCACCCTTTAAATGAAGGTCTTGGTGTTCGTAAATTGCAGGGTCATAGACTGTTTCATCTCCCTCTTGGGTGAAAGGCTTGCCTGCTGATGGCCTGAGGGTAGTTTTGAAGGGCTGTAAATGGAGCAAGGTATCCCTCTCCAGAATTTTAAAGTGATCTTATCCCTTAAGCTGGAATGTTCTCAGAGATATATTGGTGATGTAGTCAGCCATTGCTGTTGGCAAAGCCAACGGAGCAGGGGGGAGATGTGTTGCAGCCTTTTAAAAGAGGCAGCTAGTCAGTGTTGAGCCCAGTACCCTCAGAAATGGATCAGGAGCAGGGTGGGAACTTGGATGCAGGTGGGATTTAGGGCCTTGCTCGGTACCTTGCTTTGTTTTCTCTACACTTGGAAAGTAAGTAGAATTCGTCACTCAAAGGGCCTGTTCTCGGAATGAAACCTACTAGTAGTTTGTATAAAATGATAATTATTGTCATGTTGCTGGAACTTTGTCACCTAAGGCTAGAAATGGAAGTGAGTGGTGTTTGTCACTGGCTTTTTGTAAAGTGCTGTTTTGTATTGATGGATCATTGATTTTCATGGGAAGAGCTTTAGGGCCCAGCCTGGCTGCCATTTGTCTAATCTCTGGAATTGAAACAGAGGTTATGTGTGGGTGAGTGAAGGATGGAGAGCTGCTTGAATGTGTGGAGACTTGAAACCGCCTTCCCTATACTTGACTTCTCCATCTTGATAGAAATTGGGGTCTGTAAGGGGAGAGCCCCCCTCAACTCCAAGAAATTGGACTCTAAACTGAAAAAGAAGACAAGAAGCCATTAGTAAGTTCTTTCTAAGATGTTGTAAAGCTCAGAATCCCGTCAGGAAATACAGATAATAGAAATTCAAATTCTTGGGCTTTGAGAAAATATTGGCTCCTTTCATTTCAGTTTTTAATAGACTTTTTTTTGTCGTCTGTGGCCCACTATAGCCCATAGATCTTTGCTGCTCCGGGTCAGCAGCTTCACCGGCACCCAGGAGTTTGGGAGAAATGCAGAATGAGAGGCCTCACTGGCTTTTTGAATCATGATTGGCCTTTTAACGAGATTCCCCAGATGGTTCCCAGGCACGAATTTCCTTACCTGCCTGCACCCTTTCAGGTTAGAAACCTCCCATAGGTGCTAGGGTCGGTTCTCTGCCAGAATCAGTAATAGTCTGCCTCCAGGCTGAGGTTTTTCTGCAAAATGAACCTGTACCTCCCTCAAAGGATGGAGAGAATGAGGTAGTAAGTACAGAAGTTAGCACCCAGTTTATTAGGGGCTGAACGTGTAATAAATGTTAGCTATCGTTGTTGCTCATTATAATTTCCTGTCTCTAAAGAAACCTGGTGAAAATGCTCGCCTCCCATCGCAGTCACATATTTGAATTAAAGATAGCTCACTTCCTACTGATTTAAAAGTTAAATCGGTGTTGTGAATGAAGTGTTGTTTGGTAGTAAGACTAATCTGAAATACTATGAAAATTAGTGCATTTTCATAGATTATGTCTTTTAAAAATGAAACTCATACCTGTCTCTTAGTTGGGGAGAATGTCTCCTGTGGTTGTAGCACACTGTGAAAATGTACTTTTTGTGGAAAAGGAGTGTGAACCCATGACTTAGATTCTTCTTCTTTCTTGTGAGTGTAGATTCTGTAAGTGCTGATTGGTTTTTACATCTAAGGAAATAGTAAATGTAGGCTTATTGTTATTTCTCCAGCAGTTTGGTAGGAAACAGTTTTGCTCTTGGGATGGGGGAGGCATGCCATCCCATACACCATGTGTAAGCTTACTCTACCGCTGTTGCCCCCATTTTATGGATGAAGAAATTGGGGCACAGATGTTGCCAATCCTTCAAGGTCGCATGGCTGGGGTGTGGGGGAGCTGGGATTTGAACCCCGGCAGCCTGGTTTGAGGGTGTGCTGTTTCTGCTTCCTGCACACATTATTCTGAGTTGTTCCACGTAGCAGAGCAGGAGACGTTGCGCCCAAGGGTGCTCTGGGGGCTTTGGGCAGCCAGGCGGCCCTTGGGGTGACTTGCATGCTGAAACGGTAGTCTCCTGCTTGTCGGGTTTCTATTTTGCAGTGATCAGTGGGCTGTTCTGAGGAGTGGTGTCCTGCTCCAGACCCACAGACCTCTTCTCAAAAGCGCCAAGAGCAGAATCAGCATTTCAGTTCCAGAAAGACCTCCCAGGAAGCTCTTCTGCTTCACATACCTTTCTTGAGTCCTGCTGGTGCGTGATTGACCTTCTAATGTTGCACTGCTTTTGCTTAGCACTTTTTATAACTAATTTGGGTAATAGAAGATGTTTAAATCACATTTTAGCGCTCCTGATCTACTCAAAATCTCTAACTCTACTGAGCCTTAGCTTTCTCGTTAGGTGGTAATGACTGAACATTGTAGACATTGTAAGAATTAGGGGGTTAGGTGCTTTCTTAGATCATTCAAAGACAGAGGCAAATATTTGCATGACGGGGTTGGGTAATAACATATCTTTTACTTGATGGAAACCTTGCTGGATTGTCATCTCAAGCCGGTGAGCATAGTCCCTCTCTGTCCTGCTCTCCGCTTGATGGGGGCTGGGGGCCGCACAGGGCATGCAGGTGATGGCAGGTGAAGAAGTGGGTTTCACTGCTTTGTATTCTCAGATTTACCTTAAGGTGGTTTCTTGTAAAACAGCCTCATTTTCTCTCATGAAGAGTGTGATTATGTTTGGAAGTTGTTTTGCTGGTCAGGGACTTAGAATCAAATACATTTTAGCAGGAAAACAAAGTTAAAACTACTTTTACAGTTTTGTGATGATTAAAAATAATAAAATCAGCATCTAAGACTTCAGTAAAAGTATTTAGTACACATCCGTTTTATAAAATCAGACAAAGACAGGTCAAGAAAAGAACACGACAGACCAGTTGCCCTCATGAACACAGACACAAAATCCTCAACAACAAAAAACTAAGGAAATTGAACCCAACAATTTTATGTGGAGAAGAAAAGCTTACCACAATCAATTGTGATTTTTCCCAGAAGCAAAAGGCTGGTTCAGTTTTTGAAAATCAATAGATGTCATCCACCCTGTTAACAGCTCAAAGAACAAATCCCACATAATTATATCAACTGACGCAGGAGAAACATTTGACAGAATTCAACATTCTTTCATGATAAATGCTGCCGGCAAACTAGGAAGAGAAGGAAACTTCCTCAACCTGAAAAAAGGCAGCTACCAAAAATCGACACCTAATATATTTAGTGGTGGAAAAATGAAGGCTCTTCTCCTAAGACGGGATTCAAGAGCATGATGACCTTTACACACCACCACCCCATATTCAGCATCATACCGGAAGTTGCCAGCCAGTGCAAGAAAAGAAAAAAGGATCGGATTGGAAAGAAAGAAAAACTGTCCCTATTGGCAGATGGCGTGATTGTCTACTGAGACAGTCCCCCAGGAATCAGTAAAAAACGCCGAAGACTTAATACGTGCGTTAGTGTGGAAGCAGGGTACAAAAGCAAGACACAGAAATCAATCCTATTTCTATATCCTAGTGATAAATAAAAATTGGAAATTGAAATTAAAACAACCAACCACCAAGCCTCCTAACAGTTATAATAACTCTGGAAAAAAACAAAAACTTTTGGTGTAAATCTAAAAAAACAATGTACAGGATCTAAACACTGAAACTACACAAAACACTGATGAAAGAGACCAAAGATGGCTAAATAAGTGGACAGAAATGCTGTGTTCATGGGTGTGAAGACCATCAACTCTTCACAAATTGATCTGTAGGTTCAACACAATCCCAGGTACTCAGCATGATTTTTTAAAAATTAATTAATTTATTTGTTGAAGAACTGGGTTTGTGGGATGAGACGATTCACCAGAGACAGAGTGGGGCGCAGAACAGGCAGACGGACTGAAATACACTGCTGAGGGGAGCAGTGGGCGAGACAGGAGAGGTCTGCTGCGCCATGTGGGTCACCTCCATGGCTGGGGATCGAACTTGTGCCGCAGTGGC